GTTGCCTTCATTTTCCACTCAGGCAGAAGAAAGCCTGAAACCAGCAAAAAAAAAAAGGAAAAGAAAATCCCTGGTGAGAGTGGTTGGGCCTCTTTTACCTTCTCTCAGTGGTTCAGTGGTGGCCCCGAGGAGAGGATGGGGCAGTCATAGGAGCGTGGAGGTCAGTCACCCTGCGCCGCCCCGGGCCACAACCAAAAGCAGGGGGAGCCCGGGGCCTGGGAGGTCTAGTAAGGGCTGCCGCCTTTGCTTCGCAGGAGGGAGGAGCCCAGATACTGACAAGGACACCGCCCTGGATCTGGCTGGGATTCCCTCCAGCCTTGAGCTCCGGAAGTGAGGCTGGTCACCAGCGCTCAGTGGTCTTGCAGCCCGAAAGTTCTCCAACAAGGCCTTCACACAGCCCCTGGCATTCTCTTCTCGACTTATTTAGAAAGGAACCTCCAAAAACATACTTAAAAAAAAATATTTCAGAGTGACAGCGGTTCACTTCCAGTAAGTTGATGAAAGCACATGGGACTGCCCTCATTTGGTTTGTCCCACACTGATAAGGGCATTGGCAACCTCTAGGTTCATGTGGCTTCATTTCACTGGTGGAAATGAAACGATAAAGATTTGTTTTGCCAGGATCATTTGCTTCTGGATATGGTTTTCATAAACAAAGAAATTAGCTTCTTAAATAATTGAATACATTGGAACAGTAATTGGTCATTAAGAAAATGACAAGGGGCATTGACACGAAGTGCAATAATGTTCATTGTCTCCTACTAATGCGGAAGGATCAGAGGGCCGCTGGATCCTGGAAGGACCCGCAGAGCCTGCAGACCATCCAGGTGCTGATATAGAACTCGAGAGAGTAACATTTCCTAGTGGATTTCGGGAAGTGAAATGGCAGGGCAGTGAATCATCAGCCCTACGCAGAAGCTCAGGACTAAGGAGCTCGCAGCGGTCAGCACAAAGGGCCCTTTTTGCTAGAGGACAAATTGCGCCATTATTATCTTTTGTGAGCAACCAGACAATAGTTCATTACCAGTGAGCACAACAGTAAATGCACAGTGAGTGATGTGTCACCAAGTGCATTATTTCCTCCTTCCCATTACTGCATTGAGAATGTGTTGTTCAAATTGCTAGGCCACCAAACTAGATTATATATATATATTTTTTTTCTTTTTTAAAAAGGAAAACAATGAGAATGAATGTGGGCGGTGGTGGTGCAAATGGTGGCTTGTGGTGATCAAAAGATGACAACCTCAAACATCGCTCTGCTACTGTTATGCTCAATAAGATTGATTTTGTGGTTCTGTTTGTGTTCACTCTGAAGATTTGCTTTAGTTTTATGGTTGTGTGAGAAGCTATGAGCATGAGAAGCTCATGTGTAATTTTAGATTTAGGCCTCCAGTAAAAAGAAAATAAAAATAATGTGGGTCAACACTTTTGAGTCTGTCACGATTTTCTTTTTCCTTTTGAATGGAAGCATTTGGGTTCTGGAAGTCAAACTAGCAATTCTACTTACTGGCTGAATGTCTGAGCTATAATATACTTTAAAAATGATATCCTGGGACATACAGTAGTTCAGGGGTCAGAAGTTCTGGGTTCCAGGCCATACATGAGTCATTCTGAGACTCATTTGTCTCATGTGCAAAATTGGAGTAAGATGACAGGTATGTTGTGGGAGAGGTGAAATACAGACGAGAAGTTCTCTTGAAGCTCTTGGCATCACAGACAGGTGAGACTGAGAACTACCAGGAGATGAAAGGTGAACCAGGCCTTGACCCCTGGATAGACAGTCCCATGTGTTTTATACTTGTGTTGCTCGTTTAATCCTCAGACTGCCCTATCAGGTGGATATGAATCATATTCCCTTCTCCAGGGAAGAAAGGAAAGGCACAGGGCAATCAAATGACTTTGTCTGACACTTCTCTAGGTACGGCCAGATGCCTCTGGGTCCGAAGACCTTCTCCTTAATACTTCCTTCTTGCTTCTAACAAAAGTTTTATTGAGGCCTGTGTTAGTTTTCCATGGTTGTGAAAAAGTCCTTGACATAAATTAACTTTATGCAGGAGAGGCTTATTTTGGTTCACAGTTGCAGAGGCTTTTGTCCATGTCTGACTGATTCCATTACATCATGGCGCAAGTGCATAGTGGAGCAGCCCGGGAACAGAGAGACAGGGAAAGAGTCCCAAAGGGGCTGGGATCAGATATAGTTCCCCAGGTCACGTCCCTGCCATCCACTCCCTTCAGCTAGGCCCCAGCTTCTGCTTCCATTCCCTCGCAAAAATTCCACGAAGTCATGATCTCATCAATGGATTAACACACTGATGCAGTGAGAGCCTTCGTGATCCCATCAATTTCTCCCGAAAGCCCATCTGCCGGCAACCATACCTTTAGCGCATGAGTTTGGGAAGACATTTCAAATCCAAATTATTACAGCATCTCATATCTGTCTTGGAGAACGTTGTAGACAGTACCATATCCCAGGCAGCCCAGCAGGAGGCACAGAATTAACCAAAAACAATCCATTTCATCATGTCAGGACCACTGTGATCGGGGATCAGAGGGACCCACGGGGTACAGAGATCTGGGCAGTGGGGAGGCTCAAACCTCAGACAGGGGTTAGTAGGAGGGAGAGTAGGACAGTAGTCAGAGCAGAATGGAGTGCAAAAGTCCTGGGTTGGGAGGAAAAAGGTTTATGAGCAGACAGGACGGTCTCATCATCATGAAGGTAGTAGCTCCCCTCAAAGCCATTATAAATTCTAAACAAACCCCAGTACTGTTTTTGTGTAACTTAATGAACTGCTCCTTAAACTCGTATGGAAGAGCAAAGTGTCAAAGTTAACTGAGACGGTTTGGACAAAGCATGAAGGGAAAGCGGGGGACACTTGCTCAGCCAGTTGTTGAAATGCACCATGAAGCTATAGTCATTTAGACAGTGCAGTGGTCCCATCTTAGCCAAAGAGAGTATGTTCTAGGAACACCAGTGGATGGCTGAAACCGCAGATGCCTGGAACCAACTTATGGTGCTTCAAGTTACAAGTTTTTTGTTGTTGTTGTTTTACTTTACAATGGTGTGAAAGTGTATGCCCACTCTGAATCAGTCAGCATTTACTACAGAAACAAATATAACACAAGGTATATAAATATATAAGAATTTACAGGATTGGCTTACAAAGGCCACCTGCACAGTCGGATGAGGGAGAGTCTGGGGGCGGTTCTGTCTGCACGCTGGAGAAGGGAGGATTCAGTTGAAAGTCTGGATCTCCCTGTGTTATTCCGTGTGAGTCCGTATCAGGAGGCCGATGGGCCTGTGGCAGAAGGCTGAAGAATCTACCCTGGAAGGTTGAAGGATCTGCCCCAGAAGCCAAAGAATCTGCACTGGGAGCCAGGAGATGACGTCCAAGGGAAAGACAGAAGGACAGAAGCTTCTCCAAAGGAACAGAAGCAGGCATGTCCTTCCTCATTTCCCCTTTATAACATCCAGGCAGGCCAAGAGCTCCCCAAGGTGGATCTCCCACACCCCTAGGGCATGGAGTTGCTAAGCCAATTTAGCAAGTTTCTCTTAACCAAACTTGTCAAGGTGACACAATCACTCAACCATCACTATTCCTTTTCACTCTCACCGTAATTATCAGTAATCACACGAGACATTCAACACTGTTATGATTTAGATCTGAAATGCCCCCTTAAAAGTCTCAAGTATTCAGTGGTGATTGGACAGCCGATGGTGCTGTGAGGAGCTGGGGGCAGGCTGGAGAAAGTGGGTTCCCGGGGCATGCCTTCAGAGGAAATGGATCTTTTTCTCTGCTGAAATGGGTTTCTTCTCTCTTCTCTCTCTAGCTGAAATGGATTTCTCCTACCATGCCCTTGTGCAAAGCTGTTTCCTCCTTGGAGCAAAATGACCAAAGACTAACTCCCTGAAATCATGAGTCAAATAAACCTCTCCTCCTGTAAATTTTGGGTGTCAGCTATTTTGTCCCAGCTACAGGAAGGCTAATACCAACGAATTATTATAAAATTGGATTTGTGTCAGATTAGTTTGCTCAACTATTGGTTTATATAAGTGTGTTCTGAGCACATTTAAGTTAGGCCAGGCTAAGTTATGATGTTCAGCAGGTAATGTGTATGAAGTGCATTTTAAAAATATTTTAATAGATTTTATTTATTTATTGTTTTGGTACCGGGAATCGGACTCAGGACCTTGAGCTTTCAAGGCAGGTGGCAGAACCACTGAGCTAAATCCCTGGCCTTAACTGCATTTTTAAAAAAATTAAGTTTATTGGTACATTTTAAGTATACATTATGATCATATTCAACACTGTGAATTTGTACCTGTACATGATATATCTTAGCTCTTGTTTCTTTTCCCATTCCCCTTCCCTGCCCCCACCCTCCACCCCTCCCTTTCTGACTTAAAATATTTTCAATTTACATTGAGTTTATTAGGATGTAACCTCAT